ACTCCAGAGTGTTGTTCAGCATGGGGGTGAGTAGAAAATGAAGGCTAATCATGTTTTGGGTGTACTATTCCTTTAAGGCACTTAAACTCTACCTCAGTCATTTAATTCCTGCAGCAGATCCACCATAAAACAACATATGAATCACATGAGAATAGAAATAGATTTTAACACCATAGAAATTTTTAGAATTTGGCACAAAAGGCCAAAGGTCTAACAACTAAAACACTGTAAAACAAGGAAAGAAAGGCACAGAGTCAGAATTCTTTTTACTCGCGAGGAGAGTAGAAAGAGACCGTGCAGATACATCTCCACCCCACTCTGCCGGTCTTCAGCTTTCTCCTCACTATTTATTAAAGTCAGATGGGGGGTCCCTAGTTACACAAGCTAAGGTTGCGCTAAAGGAATAGGAAACAAGAACTACAATTCAATTTGTAGCCTCAGTAAACAGGTCAATTTGCATTTAAATATCTTGCGGTCAAATGGTCAGAGAACCTCCTGGTTTCATTAAGCTTGAGCAATACTTCCTGAGAGTTGACCTATACTGCTTGTGCAACACCTCTCTGGAACAGTAATATAATACACATTATATCTCATAAGAACAAACATTAAGTATCTTATACATAATTACTCCAACAGTATGCAGTTTAAAGCCACGACCTCTTAGATGCTCCAGCTTTTAGGCAAACTAGATACATTTCCGATGAGTGCTTTTTTAGTTAATTGTGTTTACCATAAATGTCCTTTTCTATCAATAGCAGATGTTTCCTATTAACCTGTGCCCATTTGATAAGTGGTTTGTATGCTCTCAGAAGGACAATGTCTTTAAACTCTGCCATCCCCAAGTTTTAATTTATTTCAAAACCAAAATAATTTCCATGCAGAGATTGTTGTTTTGCACATTTTGGGATTATTTTGGCAAGAAATAAAAAATAATAAATCAACTATCAACTAAATATTCCTGTCTCTGGTTGCAGTTCAGTTGAAACAAGGCTTTAAAATAAACTAATCTAGAACCTGCTTTAAAACATTGAATTTCTCTACTGACTGGAATCAACCAGCGTGTTACTCTCTGGTCCAATGTTCTCCCCAGGTGGATGATATCAACCAACAGTACGAAGAGCACTACCTGAAGAGCAGAGACATCGACGGACGTCTGTTTTTTGACGGGGATGAGAGTGTTCTTCCTCCGAAAGTCGAGATGTAAAATTCCTGAATGATCTCTGCAGTGGTTACAGCTGACTTGGTGCAAAGAAAAGGACAAATGGTTTCAATGTTCTTTGGTTCAGATCACAAGTGGAGAGAACTCCACAGAAGAACCAGCTGGATGAAGACGGGCCGGTGGTTCCTCCTCAGACTCCCATCAGGTTAGTAGCTGGATGTCTCTGCTTGTCAGTGAGTGTATGTGTATATTAAAATTTTAAGTAAGTTTGCAGTTTATTCTGAAGGCCCAAAATAAAGTTAAAAGATGCATATATATATATATATATATTTTTTTTTTAATGAAATATTTAGATTAATTATTTTTTGACACGGCTCTGATGCCGGAAGGAAACTTGAGGGTCAGTCTTTGTTTACCCAATCACCACGGTGCGTGTTGTTTCCTCCTCAGAGGTTTGCTGAACTCTGTTCAGATGCTAAAGGGAGATCTTCCCTCCAACGGGGACCAACCCTCCACCACCCTGGCCACGTATTTCAAAGTGAACCTCTCACTATTTTCTTACCTGTTAAACAGACTTAAAAGTCAGCCGTTTGTTGAAAAGGATTCTGTCCATTATTCTTTATCAGAACTGCACCGTGGACCCAACACAGGATGTGAAAAAGCGTCTGGAGACGCTTGGACAGGCGTTCAGTCAGAGGTTTGGCGAGGCAGTGGGGCCTGGCTGTGTCGTGTACGGCAGGCAGGTATGAACAGACCCTCTTGGCGATGGCAACCGAACTGCACCGCATCACAACCTGAACCAATTTGCACTCTAATAAAACATCCCTTCATCTTTCAGAGATTTGCCCTTGGTGTGAAGTTGTACTACAAAGTAATGGAGGCCATGCTGAAATCGGTGCAGTAACCACTTTGTTTCTGCTTGGAAACTTTCAGTATAAAATGGATGTATCCCAATGGGCTGGGCTTATTGCTTATATTTAATTTATTTTATTTTACAGGAAGAGAAACGTCTGTCGGTGCAAAATTTTAGGTATTTATCAGTATTTTTTATTTTTTTATGTTTTTGATAAAATAAAAATATACAAAGCTTCTTTTGTTCAGTATTTAACTTTTACATTTCTTAGCGATACATGCCGTGAATGTGTAATAGTGAAAATAATCTACACCCTCAGTCAAGTCTTGAGTTTTGTACATCAGGTCTTTATTAGAATATGAAATAATTGAAATCTAATCTCCGAGATACAAAAAAAAAAAATTCATCATTCTGATGTTTTTAATCTAAGATTAAGTCAGATTGAAAGTGTGTGGAGTATGAGATGATCCAGCTGATAGTGGGACAAACCTTAATAAGCCATATTTGTAGAGCAGTCCTGAGGCCTGATATTAAAAGACTCCAAATCAAGAGCATAGCTGTTTCACATGCATTGGACATTGATTTTCCTTCTAGAGCTGTTCTAAGGATCTGGGAACTATTGAATGTGATTTATACCTTGAGCCTTTGCTCTCTATTCTAACTAAAGTTGCTTGTTTTATTCTTACATTTCCACATATTCTTGCTGAGCTCTGCCTCTGGGGCCTAGCATGTACCTGTGCTGTTGCAGAAGTGTCAATTAACAAAGTACATATACTTCATTTCCTTACTTAAGTAGAAATGTTGGCTATCTATATGTTACTGGAGTAATTATTTTTTAGACAACTTTTTACTTCTACACCTTAGATTTTAAAAATAGACTAATTAGTTTTGTTTCATTTTAGCTCATTTTCATTATGGTATTTAAATAAAACAAAACAAAAACAGCATCAAAATAATTTGTTTCGTCCAGAAAATTAATTTATTTGTGGTTGGACTCGGTGCTGCCCCAACTTGTTGTTCACCACATACCAAAAAAAATAGTTTTTTGAACATGATGCAAAGTTAAATTTGACACTGTTACCATTAGTTATACAACTTAGAAAATGAAGTCTAAGGAATTTATCATCCAGAATTGTAGAAAAATGTTCCTTTAATAGGGTAGTGCAGTTTCCCGCTTTACTTTTAGTAGTCTTAAAAATGGTCCTTTTACACTTTTACTTGAGTAAAAAGATTAAGTTGATCCTCTGACTTCAACAAAACTTTTTAAACAGTAGGATTTCTACTTCTACTATAGTGATAAACATTAATACTTTTCATATCTCTGTGCTGTTGTTGAAGGAAGTTTTCTTTCTGGTTTTTTACTTTCTTTAAAGGAGCACAGAAACGTAACATGCCTTTTAAAAATTACTACACCAATAGTTCACTTTGGTCACATACAAAAGGTTTTTTAACTAAATGATGACACCTCGTTAGGTGAATATATTTTTGTTCTGTTTTTTGAAGTATTTGTTTTTAAACTTAAGCTTTTTTTATTTGATCAGACACGAGTGGCACTCAGAATAGATATTAATGCTGGAGTTGAATGAATCGGGAGCTATAGCTGTCGAAGCTATCAGTTTAATGGTTGTTTGATAGCCTGGTTGAGACTCTGGTCTTAAACTGACCCAACCAATCACAGCGCAGGAGGTGCGAGTTTACTCTAGAATTACCCACAATGCAACAGAACCTTTTTGTAACCATATGAGTAAAGACTGCAGCTGCAACTGAGCAATGTTTTATTAATGGCCTTTATTATAACCTGATTGAGCTTGATATGTCTATAGAACTCCCAGCAAACGGCTGCTGTGCTTTTCTTTTTAGGGAATACATTTTTGAGTCACACTCGTAGTTATCTGATTGGTTCTAAGTTGTCTCTGCTGATGCTGTTAGTCCCGCCAGACTGATACGCCATGTTAACAACACATAAATTTGGCTGCCTAGATTAGATGTAAGTCCTGCAAACAGATCGCGACGGTGTACAACGTTCCTTTTTGCTAATTGTACACTGTGCAAAAGTTCTTCTTATGCTCATTAACCACAAAGTAAACACTATCAGGATATATGCTTGTGGTATATTGCTTTATTCTAAAGTGAATAAAGATGGTGTCTCCTTTAAAAGGTTTATTTTGTAACTGGGCCCCTTTTAAGAAGATGATAGTGCTGAACCTGGTTTTTTTTTTTTTACCAAAATCATATTGATTGTTGAATTTTTAAATACTTTAAACATTCATGTGTTTTTTTTGTTGTTCCACTATATGTACTTTTTAAGTATTTTGATATCAGTCGTGAACTTGAACCAGATCCTGTCTTCTGCTTTGCAGTAAACTCCTCAATGACTCCATATTTCACACATCACTCCTGGCCTGTTCTCTGGAGGTGGTCATGGCAACATATGAAGGTGCTTCCCATAATCCAACCCTGAATTAATCATTACCAACATTAATCGTTCTGTTGTTCTTTATTTTAAACCTGGCCTTGTTGGTAAATAATGATTGTGATTAACGGTTTGTGCATTTGGCCAGAGAGTAGCTTCAAGGACGGAGGAGGTGAACAAACGGGAACAAACGTTTGCTTTCCCTGGATACTGAACGTCCTCAACCTCTTCGCATTCGACTTCTACAAAGTGATCGAGAGCTTTATCAAGGCTGAGCCGACACTGAGCAAAGGCATCATCAAACATCTGGAGACCTGTGAGAACCTCATCATGGAGAGGATCGCCTGGCAGACGGTCAGTAACACATCAGCTCTGTGAAGATGCTTACATGCAATTTATTCTTCATCAGTAAGGAATAAACGAAAACTTCAACAAACTATCAGGGAACCAGGTTCACATTTAACAGATTATACTCACAGATTGTTTATTGTAATTTTAACAAAAATATTGTGGTCATTAAATGCATGAAACTAAAAGCTGCAGGTTCTGAAATAACCGGTACCATGAAGTTTTTACTTTGGATGAAATAACCAAGTTCTGGTCCTCTGATCTAGACCTAACAGTTGTAGATCAGTTTTCTGCAACCTTTATCTGTTTTGACTTTAGTCAACTTAAATGATTTTAAATAAATAAAAAACTTGAATAAAGAGAATAAAATTAGATTAAGTGTTATTGTTCACAAAATGTAGATAATCTGTCAGATACTACAACAAATATCAAACATCATAAGCATTATTCGTCAAAATTTTTGCTAAATTTGATCTGCAAAAACCAGTTAATTTGTAGGAATAAGGCTCAAAGGGATTCTTAGGTCTGTCCATCTGCAACATGGCATCCTAAATCCCTCCCACATGGCAAAAGTTCAAATTCACCTTTTAACACGAGGTGAGTACATAGAGATTTTATGTGCCAGTCGTAGCCTGTATCAGGCTCAGTGGATTTATTCTCCTCTGAATGGCCCATGATTTTGGACTTTTTCATGTTGAGGAGGCTCCATAGCCTGTTCTTCAGCTGTATAATGAGGCCGCTGAACTGCACTCATAAATGCATTTTCAATTGGTTTCTAAATTGTGTGAAAAATTACAATAAACATTTTACCATTTAGAAAAGATCTAGAAATATATTTGTATTTTATTTAACCATTTAGACTCATATAGGTCAAACCCCCGAGCTCAATGCTGAGTTTCACAACTGTAGTGTAATCTTTCCCATATACAGACCTTTAGTTATCAGATGATAGTTTCTTCATTTGATTTTGTCTTTTACTAATGATGAAAATATGTAGCCAAATGGGTTTATTTGGTCATGTGATGCAGCAGTGCATTGGACAGAGGAAAGTTCTCTTAACAGTTATCTGGTAAGAGAACTAGCTCTCATCAGATTAATCAACCATTTCACGTGGGATATTTTCACTTTCATTTATGAAACGGTACAGTTTGAATTCCAAGGAACTTGAGCGTTTTTGTCTGTGTTGAAAACCGTTACAACTTTTCCGGAACCCAAACTTTGTCATCAACCATGGGTGTTACACAAGCCGATGGGTTGTGTAACTCATAGGTTATTTTAACAAATTGTTGTAGATGTTATAACTTTGAAATGATCTTCTGTACTTGGTTTGTCTTGATCTGGGGAATGCTTTGACTAAACATACTGTTGTTGTTGAACAGTCTTGTGAAGGGAATACTTAAGTTTGTCTGTGATGTTCTTCATTTTATGAAAAATTCCTCTCTGTTAATTCTCTAGATGAACTCATCCCTTGGGTTTTTCAGTCCTCTTTAGAAAAAAAATACAATATCCCGATGTGTCTCACTTAAACACACTGGATTCGGGGTTTTGATCCTGACCCGCAGCAATGTTTCATTAAAAAAAACATGCTTCATTACTTAGGTTCTGGCTTGGTCCTTGGAGTTTAATAGAAATAGAATAGAATATAATAGAAAATCCCTTTATTGTCCACAATGGGGAAATGCTGGTGTTCACAGCAACACAAAGATTAAGAAGGGCTTGGAGATCTTCTATCCTGTTTCCTAAAGATCTTATATTTCCTGTAATGATTAATAGAAGATATGGCTTGAATTTCCTTCTCTTCTCCTAATGCACCTGCTCTGCATCCTCTGCGCTTCCCTTGAAACTCAGCTGGGATTTGTAGAAGTAGTTTTAGTAATTATTATTTCAGCTTTGAGATGTTAACAAGCTACTTCCAAGAGGAAAAAACAACTTGATATGGTTGCTGTTGTTAAACATCATAACAAATGTCTAAAAAAAAAATGAAATTAAAAACATTTGCAAATATCCTTTCAACTGCACAGCATCCAATATCAGAGATAAAAATAAAATAAAATAAAAAAAAAAATCAGAAAAAGAAACTTCCATCCAACATGGAGGAACTGAAATTCTTTTTGAAAATGATCTCAGAATCCAAAGGGTGTTTTGGAACTTTAATATATTTATTGCCCACCCCAGTAGGGGTGGTAAATATGTTAATTAATCAGATAATAATCAGCTCTCACATATTTTTTGCAAACAGACGTCCTTCTGGCTGGCTGTTAGAACAACAAATTGAAGTGTAAATTGAGCCAAAAACTCACGGTTTGGTACGAACCTCCGTATGGACCCTGTATGCTATCCTGGTCCGGTACAGTGCAGAAAAAAACACGACCCAAAGGCTATCCTCAAAGGCAGCTTTTTATTATTTAAATTCCTTGCCGAGATAGCTGCAACTTTCTCTAAACCAACTGTCGTTTGATATGTGTCAACATATTTGAAGTGTTCCCACTCACTTAAAGAACAGGACCGTCTTTGCTTTGTCAACCACTAGCTCTCCGTCCCCATTATAACTCACAGGGAACCCAAAGTTATCAAACACCACTGACTTGAAGGATGATTGTGGGTCTTCTAATTCTAATTAATTGTTAGCACTCTTGCAACAACACAAGCCAACAATGTTACCTTCCCACAGAGTGCAGTTTGGATTTTAAGTTGGCTTTAAGGTGGCATTTATATATATATATATATATATATATATATATATATATATATATATATATATATATATATATATATATATTAACCACAACTTACGTTCAAAATACAATAGTTTAACAAAAATCATTCAGTTCCAAGTCAAACATATTTCATTAAAACCTCTTGACTAGACCATCAAAACTCTACTCAACTAAGCTGCTATGAAAACAAAGAAGAAGAAAAGCATGGTTGAAAACCTTAATTAATTAAATGATGCAATGATATCACCGTTTGGCATGGATTTTAAGTTTGAGAACCAGTTTATCTTGAATTTGGAATGTGGTAAGATTAGCTTTTTTTAATTTAAAGCAATTGGAATGGAAAACCAATTCACAAAGCAAATCCAAGAGGTAAATTTTTATTATTTGGAAAATAATGTTTTATAATTATTAAAGAATTTGGTAATGATAGTGTAATGAGCATATGAGAAAACACATGAACATTAAGTTATGAGTGTTTAAACCCTTAGTGAAACAAACCTGTTTTAGCTTTCTAAGGTACTGCTCGAATAATGTCAAACATGTGGTGCTACCTGTTACTGTAGCATGTCTTTAACCAACAGTGAGCACATGAAATGATTAAAAAAAATTATCAAACATACATGGGGTATGACTAATTTGTCATATTACTTTTGTAATTACTTTGAAAGGCTCTGGGATAATCATAAAAATCAACATAGCGATGTGGTTGCCTAAACATGTAAACATCAACAATAAAGAAGCCAGGCGGTCCACCAATCATCGCTCCTTGCAACCCCGCCCCCTCCAAAAGCCTGATTAAATGGCAAAGAACTGGGTTGCTTGAGGGATCCATGAAAGGAAAGTGTGGGTAATGCAAATTAGTTGCGTTATTCTGTATGGAGAAAAAAATGCAATTTGCAAAGCCATAGGCTTTTGGGGAGCAGTGGAAAAGGGGCTAAAGGAAAGTTTCAGACTATTTTACAGCAATTTGGTACTGATGTCAGCCACCTGGTCCACTTAGCGTTAGGTAAGTTTGCCGGTTCTGGTCCCTAGAATTGGGGCCATGATGGTGTCTCTTTGATGTGAACTGGTCAGAGAGCAGTCCCCAAAGAGAAAGAGAAGGCCTGAGACAGTTGCTTTGTCCTCAAAACACGGTGGGGGGGGGGGGCAAAGCCACTATCTTGTGATACTGTCCAGGTGTGGAGGGATGGGGTGTTGAGCAACGTCAGCTGCGGGGTAAAATTTTCATTTCCCTGACCCATTGGACATGTCCCACAATTATCATGGTTTACGGCACAGGAACTGTAAAGCAAGAAGTTACTGCTAAAGCAAACACTAAGTTTTTTTAAAGTTAACATTTGAGGCCATCTTTAAAGTTTTAGAATAATCCATCCATAGATCCTCTTTATCTTGGGCCGGGTCGCGGAGGCAGTAGTCTGAGTAGAGATCTCCAGACTTCCCGATCCATGCACACCTCCTCCAGCTTCTCTGGGGGGACCCCAAGGCGACACCAGTCCAGCTTGGAGACATTGTCCCTCCAGCGTGTCCTGGGCCTTCCATAAGGCCGTCTCCCAATAGGACATGCCTGGAACACCTCCTGAGGGAGGGTGACCAGGGGGCACCTGGAACAGATGCTCGGGCCACCTTAGCTGGCTCCGTTCGATGTGGAGGCGCAATGACTCTACTCCCAGCTCCTCTCGGGTAACTGAGCTCCTCACCCGAGCTCCTCATTTAGTTTAATTTCTAATTCAATGGAAACACTGCAGTTGGGCAGTTATGTAACTTTATTTTAACTTTAGCAAGTTATAACTAGGGATGGGAATCGAAAACCGGTTCCTGTTCAGAACCGGTTCTATGTGTTCCAATTCCACGGCACCGTTTGGCAGCTCGCTTAATGATTATCTTATCGATTCCAGGCAGTACTAGAGCGTAGGGCTGTGGGCAGCACGGCTTACGTCACGTTTTTACGCATTCATTAAGCAAGTATGACGTGACCAGGCGTAAGTCTAGAAAAGCATAACACTAAAAATGGCGTCCCATCGGGTAAACCGGTCAAAGGTTTGGGTTTATTTTAGGGAAGATAAAGAAGGCGCTTTGCAATCATTGCAAAGTGGCAATAACATCTACAGGAGGAAATACATCCAACATGCAGAAACAACTGTGCACACAACATGGCATACATTTTAACGAATGGGGTGTTTTTGACGCTTCCGGACAGAAGCTAAAGTTACGACCAGCATGGATGCAACTCTGGTGGTCAGTAGCTAGTTCTATACCGCTGGCTGTGCTTAATGTGGTTCCTAGTAAATC